TGATTATGCAGTAAAATAACTTTTTTTTATGTATATCGAGATGTAAGAAAATTGCTCGCATAGTTTTGAGAACTCATTTCGGCCGTTTGACCATTAAATCGCTCACCGTACTCAAATAGCGATATCAGATACTTTAACGGTGTGCAGCGGCAAGAATTTCCCTTTTCTCTCTCTCTCTCTCTTACACACACACACACTCTCTCTCTCTCTCTCTCTCTTCGACTCTCATTTTAACTCGCGCAATACCTCGGACGCACGAAAATTCGATTTCGCCTTCCTATCTGCCAGCTTCTGGCAATGGGAGGCAAATTCTTCGATAGTCTGCGCAGCAAGGCACAGCGCGATGGAAAGGCTACGGGCACACGGTCCTGTCTCCCTTGTCTGGTAGCATCGTGCTATTAATCGCATTAGGCGACCGACAGGTCTGCTTGAGTGGTAGATGCCCTTGCCTTCCTTCACAAAGGCATCACACGCCGGTATCTTCAACCGTGTACCATGATACGGCCAGTGGACGCGCATTCTGGGTATATATCAATCACATACCAAGAACGTTTAGAGTTCCGCCGAGTACTCGCAATCACTCGATTAAATCTTTTAATAATCTCCCCAACGCATTCAGAGCAATGTTATTCTCATACATATATCTTGTTTTCTACGATATATTGCGTTCAGAAAAACGTTTGGCAGAAAATATAAACCTATCTAATATCAGTTTTAAATATTGACAGTAATCGTTAAGAAATGATTTAGTATTGCTGTTTGAGAGGGAGAGAATATTAATATATGTATGAATTTTTGCGAGCTATTTCAAAATTAAACCGTAAAATGTATTGGAGATAAAAAAGAAATATAAGAAAAAAGATTTCGATTTCGAAAATGTTTCACAATTAATACCATTTCGTATGAATAAAAATTTCTTTATTCAAAGTCTTTGAAAATATGTATGCAAACTCGAAATGTGATATTAATTCCATGAGCTTTTTGTAAATTTTTTATGACATTGTAAGAATATTAATAGCCTTAATTAACAGAAGAGAAAATATTATTGATCAATTGTAGCAAAAAAATCTTTAATTAATTTGCAATCAAATACAAGCACTATCGTAATGCTTGTGCAAAACATGAGAAATTTTTAAAAACTACCGAGTATATCGTGGAAAATGTACTTTTATAAAATATTCAATTGTGAATTGTCAATTAAGCTACTATAAATAAATACTGTGAAGAGAAAATCGTTACGCAAATTATAGGAGAATACATTTTAAATTCCGTGAGTGTACGTGCCTTTGTTGCTCAAAACTTCCATTGTTATATATAATATTGTCATATATAATATTGCAATTATCTTTGGAATTTTTCCTATTATTATTTATACTAATAAAATTTATATAGCTAAAATTCAAATTTATTTTATCGCTTTTAAATAAAATGCTATGTTTTTGTAAAAATTATGAAAATTGAGGAAATTGTGTCTCGCATTCACTCGTTCAAGCAAAAATTAATTGTTTGTGAAAACACAATTGCTCGGTACTATTTTAGTGTTACTTTATAATCAAGTGGTTTTAAACACAAAAAACAAAATCTAAAACTCGCTTTTACGAATGTGCGCTTGCGTGCGCATTAATTTTATAGCTTTAATGAAAAAACGCGTCAACGGCGCGTGAGCATCGCATTGATGTTAACTAGAGCGTTGATATCCGATGCGTCGTAAATTGGGGTCAACCGTATACTTTTTTCTCTCTCTCTCTTTCTTTTTCCTTCTCTTCCGCCGATACATTTTCACTTTTGCGTAATTCGGCCAAAAATATAGCGCTACGCAGTAGTGACGGAGCATCGTCCTTCGCGCGACGTGCAGCATAATTTAAACACGGAGCACAACGAACCCTCTCTGCACACCGTATTCACCCTTGTGTCACAATCGTCTCCCGCGTCTGCCACAACTTTCCATTTCGTCTTTTCGTCGACTTATCCGCCGCGCTGGTTTCTCCTCGTTCGCATAACTGCAGAAGAGAAGAGAGAGAGAGAGAGAGAGAGAGAGAGAGAGATGCCGTCATTTCTATAGACATTCATTATTCACTGCTCACTCAACGTGCTTCACGGTACCCCTTTCTCTCCTCGTTGTCTCTCTCTTTTCTCCTCTCCAACACAATCCTATACGTATCTATCTCTGTCTCTCTCTCTCTTTCTCTTTCTCTCTTTCTCTTTCAGTTTTCCACTAGTTTCTCTATTTCTCGCCATTTGGGCTACCGTTCACGTCCGTTAAAATCGGCAATGGCGATAATCTGCCGAGCTTTTAAACGAGCATCGTTCACCGTTTTACAAGCGATGGACTTTGTCGAAGGATTTCTGATCGACGAAAGAGCCAACGGAGAAGAAAGGAAGAGAACGGGAACGTCGGTGAGTCTGGTGAGAGGCGGAATATTTCATGAGGACGGAAGAACGTTCGCGCGCGGTAATCCATCGGGGTAGTAATGTTTTGCACAATTCATACGGACCGCGCTAAACGCTTTTTGATGGCGCGATTTAATTACAATACGCTTCGATTTTCGAACACGAACGAGCAGATGCGCGTTTATAGAATCGATTAAATTGCGCCGCTTCATTTGTTGCAATATTATTTTAATAACGTTACTTCCACTCGGCTGCCTTGCGTTCAAAACTATGCAAAATTGTAAGAAATCTTTTTTTTAAATAGCATCTCGATTCATTATATGGATTTATCGCGGATTCTGTCTTTGCGATTTGTTAACTCTCGTAAAATAAATTTGCGTAATTAATTCGCATTAATAATAGTTAATTACTTTAATATTATGATGTAAAGCTTACAGATAAGTCATGCAAATATTTATCCAGTTGATTTCAGTGCTGAATAACGCATGACGGCTTTACAATTCAAACTGATCGATTAACAATGACAAAATTAATTTTCGGCTACAGAAGATAATGTACGATAATGGAATATAAGCTGTTACAGAGATCTAGCAGTATATCGAATTAAAAATATCGAGTATTTATACGTTGAAGTATTTCAAATATACAAGTGCGTTGGCACAATCAATTGATTAACCACTATTACTATATTATACATATGTATATACTGCAATCTCAACGTGTCGACATATTCCGCTGCAACATATCGCGACCATGTTGAGTACACATCAAATATCGTAATATCATATCCATCGAAAACAGTCGGTCGCGAAAAATATAAAATGTTTGTATCTATAATATTGGTAATGATGCGAACCTCGACAATATTTACGCGGGTCATACATTGAAATATAAATAAACATATTGCAAAAGTACGTAAAAAGTTAAATATTCAACGATGTTATTGACGATGAAAAAAAAATGTTTTGTAAGCTTCCAATATTTATCAGAACGAGGCAAACTGCGTCCAGCAGTATTTATACCATTTTATATATTTTTTGAGTATCGTTTCGGTCGCTTGTAAAAACGCTTTACGTTTTTTTTCTATAAATTTTGACTGCTGTTCGAGAAAAAAATTTTTGTGCGTAAGATCGGCGTTTAAGGTCGCGATGACATATAAAAGTTCAATGCCTCCAATGAGAAACAATTTAACAATGGTTCGTCCCTCCTTTTTATTCTCTCTCTCTCTCTTTCCTTTCTTTTATTTCCTTATATTTCCCAATTTTTATATCGTAAAAATTGATTGAAACCGCATTTGTCCGAACTAAATCATATATGTAAGAGCAATTCATATTGCCTCACAAAACTCGAGATTTTTGAAAATAATGATAAAGATGAGCAATATTTCTTTAACTCTGTTTTTAAAATAAAGAATTTAAATCTCCTATTTGGTTTAAACGATTCTATTAAATATATTTTTACGGGAGTAGATTCTTTGATAACTGCAGATATATTCTAAAAAAAAATTATATATTATATATAAAGCAAAATTTTGTATACGTAAAAATATGTAAATCAGAAATATATATAAATCAGAATAGACATAAAACAATTGAGAATAATGTAGCCATATAAATCATAAGAAAGTAATTTTTTACAAATAACAAATAGAATATTTGAAAAATTTTATAACTAAAATAATTTGCTCAATTTACGGAAGTGTCACATATTGTACAAAAACATACGTTATAAATTATTCTGTTATATAATTGTTATTTAATACAGCTTTTACATTAAAACGATTATTAGATTTATGTCATTCACATATGGTACGTAATTGCAATAATAAAACGTAAAAGAATAAAAATGTAAAAATTCAAAAATATTTTTAAATAATCAACTTAAAACATTTAAAATGTTTTTACCTTCATAAAGAAAGTAACGGTAACGGAAGAGAGAGAGAGAGAGAGAGAGAGTATATTGGATACCGAAAAAATGGATTTTAGCTATATTTCATATTATACCGAGCGCGTTTTCATAACAATATCGATACTCAAACAAGGTAAACAACGCGTGAAATAGGAAACATTCTTTTGATTACTATTAGTTTTAATTCTTTCAGTTTTGCTACCGTTTCATAATTTATCATTTATGTCTCGCGTAAAAAAAAAAAATCTCTCAAATATTAAACTATCGCGCATTAATTTCGAGAACACTATTATCATGCACACTTTGATCGAGATGATGACGCTGACAAAGTAGCAATCGTATATAATTATATATTCCAAAACTATTTATTTTGGCGCACTTTTCTATCGGGATCGACGAGACGCTGCCTCGAAGGAGAAGCTGATATTATTGATGGAGCATACTATACACGTTAGTATTTAGAATACATAAGCGAATGGTATGTTTGCGTACGGCGGCTATATACACCTACGAGTTCAGTAACCCTTCTGCCGACGGCAGACGTGCTCAACGAGGAGGCCGAGCCCGGCGAGCACTCGACTCGTCGCGTCTCTCGCGAAACATCTATAGCTGTAAAACCCGGTATATCATCCGGGTCGAGCCGGCGTCGCGTGTAAGCGATGATACGTTAACGATATGTACAACACACGAACAACACTCACCGATGGGAATCTTGTCTGGAAATACCGCGGGTACCAGGATCAAGAGGACGGTTAAGGCCATAGTCATCATCGTGGCAGTGGATGTTGGTCTGCTGATCCTACCGGTACTGTTTCCCGCGTTCTTTTCGACTTCCCCGGGGAGGACCGACGCGACGATACCGAGAGGGACCGCGATGGCGCGACACCGTCGTCGCGACGAGGGTGGTCCACCCGTCTCGTGAACAACCGGGAGCATCTTCCGAGCTCCGTAGTCTGACACAAACTGCCGTGCTCTACTTGGCGTGAACTCGGTCTCGCCTGAACCGCCCCAGCATCCCTCTCTCGTCCCCACTTACCTATCCCACCCTCTGTATTCCTCTCGTTCCTCTCTCTCTTTCTCGTTCGTGGACCCCTTTAACCAGCAGCCACCCCAGCCATCCCTCACCCTTCCCTCGATGCATTGCAGCGCTCTCGCTCTCGATCCAACCTCCCTCTGTCGCGACTTCCGCCACCACCGACGCGCGCGAGCATCCCCCAGCCACCCTCTTTCTCTCTCTCTCTCTCTAGAGAGAGTGTCCTATTCTATTCCTCTCGCCTATGCTCTATCCTTTCTCCTTTCGTCGCACCCTCGTGCTTCACCACGGTAGTTCGGGATGGAAGCGTACGTTTAACGCGCATGTTACGATAGTCGCGGCGCGCGTGTTCGTCTCGGAAATATTCCGCGCACCTGCTGACTGGCGTCACGCCGCTACCGATACCGCCAGCGATACGATGCCGATGCACGCCACGTCAATGTAGATGCCAATAGGTCGAAATTAAACCAACCCACAAGTAGGTATACTTCCGTTCGCAACTTCATTAATGCTCGACTTAAAATCCCACCCGATTCATTTTTTCCGTTCGGGAAAAAAAATTATCATAAAATTAGGCATGACTAAACTAAATTTCGGGTTATATAGGAATAATTAACAGTTAACGACCCACAAGTATACTTCCGTTCGCAACTTTATTAATGCTCGACTTAAAATCCCACCCGATTTATTTTTTCCGTTCGGGAAAAAAATTATTATAAAATTAGGCATGACTAAACTAAATTTCGGGTTATATAGGAATAATCAACAGTTAACGACCCACAAGTATACTTCCGTTCGCAACTTCATTAATGCTCGACTTAAAATCCCACCCGATTCATTTTTTCCGTTCGGGAAAAAAATTATCATAAAATTAGGCATGACTAAACTAAATTTCGGGTTATATAGGAATAATTAACAGTTAACGACCCACAAGTATACTTCCGTTCGCAACTTTATTAATGCTCGACTTAAAATCCCACCCGATTCATTTTTTCCGTTCGGGAAAAAAAATTATCATAAAATTAGGCATGACTAAACTAAATTCGGGTTATATAGGAATAGCTAACAGTTAGCGATTCACTGAATGTGTAATTACCGTTCGGTAAAATATTTTTAATCTTGAAAATATTTGAAAATATATTTTATATGAAATTACATATAATCTGTAATATTCCATATAAATATTGCATGATGATGCTGGAGCGGAAAAAACCTAACTTAATCTTGTAATTTTACATAAATATTTTTTTCAGTGTTCAGTGTTTTTCCGACCCAGCATTATCATGCAATATTGATACTTATATAGAAGATTACAGATTATATATATGTAATTTCATATAAAATATATTCTTGAATATTTTCAAGATTAAAAATATTTTACTGAACATGTAATTACACATAGGAACTGTTAATAATGTATAAATGCTATAAAATAATGTTATAAATAAAATAGATAAATACTTAAAAATAAAGTTCTAATAAAGTAAAAATAATAAATTTAAAATTACATATGATTTTTGCATAAAAATAGTAATTTTATCTACATTTTACATGTATTTTTACATTAAATTATTATATTTATATTTTCGCTTTAAAACAAATGGAAAAAAATTACAGTAATAAGCAAGTAACTTTTCCAGTTCTGAATTAGTAATTTCCATGTAAAAGTACATGGATTTTTTTCAGTAAAGGCTAATTTTTCCGTGTTTATTAAAACCATGTCAAGATGCTAAATAGGCCGGAAATAACGCACAAATATACTTTTGTTCGCAATTTCGCATCAATGCTCGACTGAATTCAAGATCCCACCCGATTCGTTTTTTCGTTCACAAAAAAAATTAATTACCATAGCTAAATTTTAGTTGTCCCTATATCTGAAATTTAATTATTATGCCTAAATTTTAGCTATATAATAGCTAACATTTTTAGATATCTTAAACGGAAAAGTTTTCTGTTAAATTATAACTAAAAAATATTAGTTGCCACAGCTAAAATTTAGGCATAATAATTAAATTTCATGTAATATAGGAACAGCTAAAGCTATGGCTAATTTATTTTTCAGTGTTTATTAAAATAATGTCAGATGCTAATAGGCTGGAATTAAACCAACACACAAGTATACTTCCGTTCGCATTTCATTAATGCTCAACTTAAAATCCCACCCAATTCATTTTTTCCGTTCACAAAAAAATTAATTACTATAGCTAAATTTTAGTTATTCGTATATTATCTGAAATTTAGTTATCACGTCTAAATTTTAGCTATAATATTTGTTAAACGGAGAACTTCTCTGTTAAATTATGGATAAAAAATATTAGTTACTATAGCTAAAATTTAGACACTAAATTTCACTAAATAACTAAATAACTAAATTTCAAGTAATATAGGAACAGTTAAAGCTATGGCTAATTTATTTTTCCGTGTTTATTAAAATAATGTCAAGATGCTAATAGGCTGGAATTAAACCAAGTATACTTCGGTTCGTAACTTCATTAATGCTCGATTTAAAATCCTACCCAATTCATTTTTTCCATTCACAGAAAAAATATTAGTTACCATAGCTAAATTTTAATTGTCCCAGTATTATCTAAAATTTAATTATCATGCCTAAATTTTAGCTATGATAGCTAATATTTTTTAGCTATATTAAACGGAGAACTTCTCTGTTAAATTATATAGCTAAAACATATTAGTTACCATAGCTAAAATTTAGGTAGGATAATTAAATTTTAGGTTGTAATTGTTTATGAAAACAATATCATGGAGATATATAATCGTTATGAATATAATAGTTCAGTTATAACAATAACACAGTTGAAAAGTTCTAACAGAAATATAAGGCAATTACGACCATTCATTGCCTCAAATTAATATAAAAAATAATTTAACACTTACTACTTGATGCGATGCTCAGCTGTAGAGTTGTAACCAGAACATTGATTACTCTGTAAAATACAAATATATACAAATTATGTAGCAACACCGAAAATGATTAACAGTTTTAATAAATAATTATATTTTTTGAGAAATAATTAAACCCAAATTACATATCAGCATAAAAAATAATTAATATTTTGACAAATAATTATTAAGAAATAATTATATTAAGTTGAAAAGGTCTTAAGAAAAAATTACATAAAATTTTAAAGCAATTGCCATCATTCATTGCCTCAAATTAATATAGAAAATAATTTAATACTTACTACCCGATGAGATGAGCATGCAATGAGATGCGATCAGCAGCGGCAGAGTTGTAACACAAACACTGATCTCTGTAAAATAAAAATATAACCAAATATTGCAACAGTAAAAACAATTAATATTTTAACGAATAATAGTTAAACGAATTATATTCTAACAAAATTTTATATTTTATATTTATATTTTATATTTTAACAATTAATGTATTTTAATTATACTTAAATTATAATATAATAGTAGCATAAAAAATAATTAATATTTTAATAGGTAGTTATTACTATTAACAATTAATTATTAAATTGAAAAATTCTAAAAAAATTTTTTATAAAATTTTAAGGCAATTACTACCATATATTGGTCTGAAATTAATATAAAAAATGACTTAACACATTTACCTCCTGAGATGCAACGTGCAGTGGCAGAATTATAACACAAACATTGAGCTCTGTAAAAAATTAAATACCCAAATTATATAACAACATAAAAAATAATTAATATTTTAAAAATAATTATTAATAATTAAAAAAGACACACACATAATTTAATACTCAATAATTATTCTATTACATCTATTTAAAAAAAGAATAAATTAAAACAGGATCAGTTTTTTAAAATAATCTATCAAACTAGCCTAACTTGTTTATTCAAATTACAATCTTTCATCATTTAATACATTTTAAATCATTATTGAGTATTAAATTTTTAATTTGTCTTTTTTTTTAAAGTAGATATTTAATAAAATAATTATATATTTTGCGAAAAACTTTTTGTATACATTCTATAGTCTCTTTTATTAAAACTTTAAATTTAATATAAGTAAAAATTTAATTTCTTTACATAAATAATGTAAATAATTATGAAGTATGAACACATCAAAAATATTATGTGCCTATATTTTGTATCTGTGTGTGTGTATGTGTACAAATAAATTTAATATATACTATATAATTCTTATATACTATATATTATTATGTATACATGTTAAATATATTACAAATAATTAGTATATTAATAATAAATTAGATATATTTTATGTATTCTCTATTAAAGTAACACAAAGAAATAAAATTATGCGATTATCGTGAAAATAGATAATTAATTATATAAAGAACATATATGTATATGTAAGCAATAAATTTACCTTAAATAGGCTTTACTCTCGCGTATTTTTTCTGTTGTTCGCGCAATATTTATTCGTGAAAATACGATCGCGCGCGTACTAATGATAATCGGAATATAAACAATTGTACGGCACTTTGCGCGATATTTTATTCCCGGCGTGATGTCATATGCGACGCGCGTGTTATTACCGTTATGATGAAAGAATCGCGCAAGAAAGATACGATCTACTCGGCACTCGTGATGTCTCAAACCCGAGAAAAGTTATGATCGCGCGACACTTTACACGGCACTCTCGATGTTAATCACACACGACGCGCACTTTATTACATTACGTCGAAAGAATAACACGAAAAAGATGTGGTCACGAGAAGCTACGATCCACTCGGCACGCGCACAACTTCTCACAAGCGCGACGGAAATAGCGAAGAGATCAGAAAATTGCGCGTAAACTTCACGCGCTACTCTTTCTATCAAAACTAAAACGAACATTGCGCTTTGTGTTTGTTATATATTATATGAATACTATAAACATTATAAGGTAAATATTCTATTTTCCAATGCGCATTAAAATGTACAAAGTTAAATTATATATAAAAAAATTCCTCATTATTCTGAGTGCGCTTGTTAAAAAATTAACGTAACAATTATAATTATAAGTTGATATCGCGTGCCGCGATATTTGTATAATGTATGTACATACATAGAATACATAAAATATACAGAACACATTTCTTGATATTATAAATACTTTGAAGCGTCTGATTGGTCAATTGAAATTGACTAATCTTTATATTGTAAATAAAAATATTATTCTATGTTATTACATAGCAAACAAATGTATTATATATTTTTATTCTATGGTATTTTTTTATTCTATGATATTTTTTATTCTATGACATACATAGCAAAATATCTTATATATATTTGTTTGCTATGTATATCAAAGAATAAAATTTTCGTTTTGCAATATAGATTTGATTGACCAGTCACGATTAATTATCAAACATTTCAAAGCATCTATATAATTAATTGTAAGTGAAATGTGTTCTATGTATGTACATAATAATGTATTGCAAAGCACATAAATATTTAAATTATATTATTTTATATAATAATATATAGTATAACAAAAGTATATATTGTATATATCATTTAAATTTTATTATGATATGCATTTATATTTTTTTTCTTGCGACATACGTATATCGTAGAATAAAAAATTTAAATAAAAAATAAGCAGTATATACCTTTGCTATTATATATTATCTCATATTATAAAGTATTTATTTAGCAAATAAATTTATAAATTGTATCCTTAATAATTTCAAATATTTTACTAATGTTGAAGAAATAAGCTATTTTGATAATATAATTTCTTACATTAAATAATATAAAATTATAATTCTTATAATTATAATTGTTACGTTAATTTTTAACAAGCGCACTCAGAATAATGAAAAATTTTTTCATATATAATTTTACTTTGTACATTTTAATGCGCATTGGAAAATAGAATATTTATCTTATAATGTTTATAGTTTTCATATAATATATAACAAACACACAGCGCAATGTTCGTTTTAGTTTGATAGAAAGAGTATTCTATATTACATGTATGCGTAACATTCTCTTTGCCAGAAAATTCATAAGAATAAGGTATAACTTACCGGAAAGAGCGCAGCGTCGCAAACAGTCTCGTCTAATATATGCGCGACGCGTCTTCGCTCGTTGCTCGAATAAGTTTCTTCGTCGAGATTTTAAGCGGTCGGACGGTCAACTTTATACGTCCGCGCTAGCGAATTATGGAAATCCTTCCTGAAAAAGTTCAAAGTGCGGTGAGATCACGCTAACGTGTCAAAAGGTGCAAGTCGTTGTTAAAATTCGTCAAAAGTTTTGACAAAAAGCATTAATGTTTATTCTTACGTTATTAAATTATTATTTTGACGATCTGATAACAAAGACTAACATCAAAGATATTTAATAAAAAGTTACACGCCTAATATACTAGCTAACAAAAAAGCTATATATATCATTATTTTCTCCAGAAATTCCAAAAACTAAAATATATATTTTTGAATTAATAGAACGCATTACAAAATTTATAAAAAATTTATAAATTTCAATTATCTTGACGTAAATTATATTATTTTATTTTTAAAAAATGTTTTAAAATAAAATCGTTTTATTAAAAAAAATAGTAATTTAATTATTTCCTCCAGAAATTCCAAAAACTAAAATATATATTTTTTAATTAAAAGAACACATTACAAAATTTATAAATCTCAATTATCTTGACGTAAATTATATTATTTTATTTAAAATAAAATTGTTTTATTAAAAAATAGTAATTTAATTATAATCTGATGGTATTGTTATAAAAAAATCGTGTTGTATAAATATTTTATTAAATCAGACAGTAAAATAAAGCATTACCACATTATACGAAATCATATATTTCTGCGATGCAACATAACTCGAGGCAGGGTGATTTGCTGTTCACAGCTGGCGGCAATAAATTCACAGATTCCTGTTTAAGTCGAAGCCCTTCGACGTGAAAGTCATAATACCAAGTACGAAATAAAAGCAAGGTGCGTGTGCTGCGTCGCTCATTACGCTAGAATCACGAAATTCATTCCGGAGAATTACTCTAGATACACGAACAATGCATGCGTACAAATATATTAATATCAATTACGCAATGCATAAAAGTTTAATATTTAACTCTTTAACAGAAAACACGAACAAAAAAAAATAGAATCTGTTGGTAAAAATATCTGCGCTCCCAAACTCCGTCTTCATCTTTATGTATTCGCCATATAATATTTCGCGCGCATTTACTCGCAAGACTTCGCACACCGATCGGTGTCGCCATCTGACGGCGAAACCCAACTTGACAGTCAGAACGGACCCAACATCTCTCTCTCTCTAGCCTTGCGTTAGACGAGCTCGTCCCACTCGTCCTCTAAGCTGCGCGTCTTGTGAGAGACTAATCCCCACCAAAAAACTGCAAAGTACGCAAAACTGTATCGCCACCTGGTGGCGAACCAAACTTTAAATCAAAGCCGAGAAAATGAAGTGAACCACAAATGTGGCCGACTTCTTCAGCCGACTTCGTGTGAGTGTAAGAATTACTGCTTCCTATTGTGTTTTAAAAATTGCAGTATGTATATAATTTTTTCCATTAAAAATATTTATTAAATTATTTCTTTATTGTGGCATTAATAAATAATAAACTACATGCATTATTTTATAAGCAATTATACCAAATGTGACATATTTAAGTTGATGCACGTACGATTAAGAAAATAAGATTTTCATATGTATATTATAATTAATTATAAAGATTAATTATTTTCTCTTATATATAGAAGAGTTATAAAAAATATATGATAATGTTCCAAGAAAAATGGACTAATAGTATGCGCTAATACTTGATAGAAAAATTATAACCAACAATATATAATATATATTCGCAGCTCGTGGCAAACAAATATACAGATTTGTTTTTTTTAATTAAAATTAATAAAAACTGCAACTAGAGGAGCATGGCAACCTTCAATACAGTCGTGTCTTGCGCAGTAACATGTGTTTTTACGTCTGCGATTTAGGAACAGTGGCTACAGCATCTCGCAAGAGGTTAACGTGAAGTGACAGTACATGATAATTGTATGAAATAAACAATTTTTAGAGCGTGAATGCTATTAAAATTTCTATCAAAATGGATCCAGCTTTACTCAGAGAACGAGAGCTCTTCAAAAAACGTGCTCTAACCACACCAGCGTAAGTGTGTTGAATTTGTTATGTTATTGTTTTATCAATATACATATGTTAGAATTAAATTGCATAATTTAATCATAAGTCTCATGTAGCGATTTAATGCGGTAATTTCGTTTTATTTATTTCTGCAATTGAAATATAGATATGTAAACTAACAATATCACAATTATAACCTCATTTATCAAAATATAATCAAGAATATAGATGATCTATCTTACGGATACATATCTTTTGTGATACGTGATATTGCAGAGTTGAGAAGAAGAAGCAGGAGAAAGAAACCACAAAGGATGAACCGTCAAAGAAAAATGAACCGCCAAAGAAGAAACCGAAACTATCATCCATATCTGCGGGTCCTAAGTTGGATATGGTCAACTTTAAGACCATGACTGGTAGTACGCAATACAAGTTTGGTGTATTAGCAAAGATAGTGAAGCACATGAAAGCAAGGCATCAAGAAGGAGATGATCATCCATTAATGTTGGAAGAGATTTTAGATGAAACAAATCAATTAGATGTCGGATCAAAAGTAAATAATGATTTGCATTATATGATACAGCGTAACATGATAAAATATTCTTTTTCACACGTATAAACATTTATTTTATATTTTCTGTTACAAATTCATGTGAATTTATTTATATAATTATAGTATGGAAGAATATTTTGTGGTATCATGTTGTTTTGTAACATATTATATAACTAAGAGAAAGCATTGATTGTTTTCAGTATATTTATATTTCTATGTTATTTTTTTTTACTTTTAAAGCTATTTTTTATTTATTCTTATATATTCTTATGTATTTTTAGGTCAAACAATGGCTGCAAACTGAAGCTTTGGTAAAAAATCCTAAGATTGAAGTAACATCTGATGGTAGATTTGCCTTTAAACCTATGTATAAAATAAAAGATAAGAAATCCTTATTGAGGCTTTTAAAACAACATGATTTAAAGGGTCTTGGTGGTATATTATTAGAAGATATACAGGAAAGTTTACCGCACTGTGATAAACATTTAAAGGTAAATTAAAAAATATATAAAATTTATCTTGTAGTAATTTGCTTGATAAATACTAATTATATTTATGTTTCAGAGTTTACATAATGAAATTTTATATATTACGCGGCCGCTTGATAAGAAAAAGATCCTTTTTTATAATGACAAAACAGCACAGTTTCCTATAGATGAAGAATTCCAGAAATTATGGAGAGCTGTTGCAGTAGATGCCATGGATGATCAGAAAATAGACGAATATCTTGAAAAACAAGGAATTAGATCGATGCAAGATCATGGACTCAAAAAACCAGCACCAATCAAACGAAAGAAGCCTATTAATAGAAGAAAACAATTTAAGAAACCAAGAGATAATGAACATTTAGCAGATGTTTTGGAAACATATGATGATTAAAGATGAGTATTCTATTTCAATGCAAATAAAATTAAACAATATTAAATTTATCTTAAAATAATTAGTATTAGTTGAGTAAAATTAATATTGTTAAATTTATCTATAAAAATGTATTATAATTTATTTTTCTAAATATAACTTTAGTCTCCTTATTTAATGTCGATGTAGATGACTAGGTGAATCAACGTGCACATTGGTGATATAAATTTCATTTCAAATATTTACTTATATTGCAATACATATGTAAGATATTTTTCTATCATTGATCAGGATATTTACATCATATATACCTGTACATAAAGGAATTTGTTAATTTTATTATTAAGCGATTTTTTATATATATTTAATTTTTTCTCTCTTTTAATCTGTCTCCTGATTTACATTTTTGCAATTAAATTAAGTCGTGCAACTTTGAATAATGTATTTAGAAATAGTTAAGATGATGCTATTTTACTAGTTACTATCATGTAGTGCACTAACAATTAGTGAAGAATTGTGTACTTTAAAATGCTAGTAAACTAGTATGCTTTTTTTTCTCCCGAATTAGCTTGTTGATTAATATTAATATAATAATATTAATATAATAATATTAATATTATTTTGACTTTACTAACTGCTAGTACACCAATAAGCTACATGCTAGTATCTAGTAAAAAAGCATCTAAACTAATTGTAAGCTTTACTAGCAGTGCCACATTAAATTATAGTATGAAATTATGTTATTATTTTACACATCAAATTGTTAAAATTTTCAAAAATTTGGTCAGTTGTGTAGTTGCAGATTGCATTTAAGATAATATTCCATGATTCATAATACTTCATCAAGAAACTTTAAATGACATAAGCTTTTATAATCTCTTTTTAAAACACGATAATCCAAAACTATTATAAACGTTAATTATAAAATTTAAAAAACTTTACATTTTTTTTGATAATTTCCCAGCAAACACAAATGTTACAGTAACATAACATAGATGTAATAGTTATGTTACAAATTGTAACATAACATTTACATCTATGTTATGTTACTGTAACATTTGTGTTTGCTAAGTTGGAATATTTTTAATGCATTTGTTTATATGAATTATTAAATTAATTAATTTTCTTTATTTTTAATTACACATATACACACAAAATATATGTACACAAGAAAGAGATTTTATAGATATAATTTATTTTAGGCATATATTAAATAAGTGAAACATTTATTGTCACATAATATCTCATTATAAGTACAAAATAAATATAGAATTATTTTAAGTCTCAACATTTATATAATAAATTTATATAACTGTGTATATATTTTGGTCACACACAATTAGCTTTTCTTTTTTTAAAACCACTGTAATATTTGTTTCATTTGCTAGTAAAAAAAATACAAAATATATTACTGTTTTATAATATAGGAATTATAAAAATATTAGAACCAGTTGACTATTCTGTGTATTATATTGTACTTATTTCTGAAAATTTTCTTAAAAAATTTTAACTTTTAGATATCTTCACATTTTGGAATTTTAACTTTAGTTGAAATTTAAGTATATTTTTTCTATTATAAAAATGTTTAAAGATTTATACATTCTCTATATGTCACTACATGTCAATATATATATATAAATGTTTTATTGTACAAATTTAAAACTGATATTTTCTTTGGCATTTATAATTTCAATTTTTTTAAGACACAGTTGTATTGATTTTTCATCATAGGACATTCATTTTTTTTATATTTGTGATGTGCAAGTACTTGGAACAACGATTTTATTCTTTCGGCAAAGCAGAATCACTTTTTCCTCGCGAATAAGCACGCGTTGCTTTACTACCAAGCATTCTGTCCAGCAAGGATTGTTTATTTCTTCTTCTAGCTGCAAGAACTTCTCTGCATAATTCGTGAAAAGATTCTGCGACTTGAGCAACCTATACAAAAATTATGATTGAATTATTTCTTTGCAGAAAACAATAACTCACACTTCCAAATATTAAATAATTGTAGTTACCTGTTCAGCAGCAGTTATTTCACTAAACCAGCATTCGAAATCCTTCGCTAATATTTCGCCTTCTTCAGCACTGACTTGCCGTAAATGAACCATGTCAGCCTTATTTCCAACAAGAGCAAGAGGCATCGCAGCTTCAGGATCAGCTATCGCTAAAGCTTCTTTTGCTTTTCTGACAAAATTAAAAGAGTTTCTATTTGTTATAGAATAAACTAGCAGCAAGCCATCGGCCCATTGCAAAGTTTCCATTGATGGCAATTCATCTTCACTCTGAAATGTCATTTAAAATATGTAGTGAACTCTCTATATATTAATATATGTATAAGATTTTCTTATAGAGAAATTACCTTTGGGCATGTATCTAAAATCTCAAAAAGAATAGGTTCTCCGTCCACTAACACTTCATGTTTGTATCTTGTTTCTAGAAAATAAGAAATTTGCACTTGAGATTATTGCTATTATTTTTAGCTATTATTTAATATACTAAAAATAATAGCTATTAATAATTATTACATTCAGTATAAATATTAAATTTTTTCTATATCTAAAGTTACGCAATTTTATATATAGCTAACTTAATTATGACATCATAACGAAACATCTCACATTTAATTTAAATTCATTTTTAGTTCTTTTTCAAAAAAATTAAATCAAAATGTAATAAAAGTCAACTAAAATAATTTTTTTTTTATTATTGGCAGCAATATATTATATTTGTTTATAATTGTTAATTATTGATTTATTCAATCTAACTTGACGCCTGTGTAATTGTTCAAATACAAAATGTAAATTTTCAACATAAGAGAAAATATGTCAGTAAGAGCAAAATAATATTTTAAAAAATATTTTTATTGTGCTTCTTTTTTTATTCATTTATGTTTTTATTAAATTACCTATTAAAACACGTTTCTATTTTCTTTTCATTTATACAGTTATACAATAGAGTAATTTGAAAAATATTTTTTCAAAACACAATAAAACTGCTAACACAATTGTTTTTAACAATTAAAAAATAAAAAATAAATTTTTGTTAAGATATAAACTCTCTTATTACTCTTATAATTTATTTCGATTATTATATTGTAACAACTAAGAAATATTTGGTAATTTAAATTAAAATAAATGAATAAAAAATTCGGCATAACTATCTGTGTAACTTTCCACTGCACTTAAGGACCAAACTTATATCATTAAGCAGTCTCTCTCAAATTGGATTTAGTTTGAGATGCGCTAACAAGGTACATGCTTCTCTTTTACTTGTGATCTGCATCAGTATATTTGTACAAAACGATAAGTTTCGTTCAAGTATCAACCTTGCATTAGTACTCGATGTGTCTAGTGTCAAATTCGTCGTCGATAAATTTAGACAGACACGGACTGAGGTATGCAGAAGGAGAATATACGTGGCCTTAGAAGCGGATTACAGCTGCTGGCAATTTTTCAGAACTGGTGTTATATTCTGTCGCATACATTTTAGCGTACACATAAGTTCTATAAGTCACGAATTGACAAATCGACGGAATCGACATTTATGATCTTTCTCACCTGATTGATGATCGTATTCCCCGATGTATCTTCTTGTCAAAAATCTTACTGTCAATGCTGAAACATATAATGGAAATATATATATTTATGTGTAACTAATTCAAACATGACATAATTATGTTGTGTGTGGTTTAATTGAGTTGGCAAACTGTAATGACAGTACGCAGGCTACTCTCACGCCTCGAACTCTTATACATATATCATGGTGATCTATATTTCATCCATTTGTTACAGCTGTATCTACTTATGTAAGAGAAAATTAACACAAAAATATTATTGTTAATCTAATTTTGCTTTGCAAAACTTAATTTAATTACATTTTATAAAAGATAAAATTATATATCAAGATCAGTATATTTGACTTCATCAATATATCTAATTACTATTTCTTTCCCTGCAGCAAGAAATTTTATAGACATTATCTATCTCATTATTTCTCTATATTTAAAATATTCTGTATATTTTTGTCGTACTTTTTTATATGCACATATATTTAATTAGGATCATCATATATTATATTTCAATGTAAATGGATTAATGACAGATAATTCCTCCTATGTACAAATTTTTAAAAATTAATATTTTTTTATTTTAATACTAAAGATAACAACTTTTAATTATAGAAAAATTTGTGCTGGATTCAACAAATTGAAACAGCTAAGCGAGATTTTCACTACTGCTATATCTTCGACGCGTTGCTCCAGAGCAATGTCCATTCCATTCCTTAATGTCCTACGTGAAAGTGATAAAAAAAGTTGATCTTTGCACTGGTAAGTTATCTTGCATGATATAATATTGCATCTGAATATATTGCGACTCGATCTGGGAAAACGAGAGAACAACCTAGTGACCTGCTTTGAGGTATACCACACTATTTTTATCACGATCTCAAACCTACCGTGGCGCCATAAAATCTTGTGTTAACTATGGCTTATTTCATCTCAATTTGAAAAATAAGCATCAAATTTTTATCGAACACGAATCATCGATTTTAATATAGATCGAGTATATTGATGAACAACTAGAATCTAACTTTTTAATACTATAAAATTAACGATCTGCAAAAATTAAATTTACAAAAAAGATATCAGACAATTCGTCGAAAAAAGATGATTTTTAAGTCAAACTTTAAAATATCGCGTAATAAATTTATTATTATTTCACAAGTATAAATTCAAATGTTTTTCGCATTTATAAACGAAATAAGTGTATAAATATTCCATGGATTCAATAACATGAAAATACATGTATCTCTGCTCGAGATATATATTGTCTATAATATAGACCAGTTTTGATCGACAGAAACATGTGAATGTTTCGAAATTTAGTGTAACGATCAGATTATTTGCGTCAGAATGTGTGGCTCAAAATCATTGGGATATATTACTACTCTTCTCCTTGATTTAATCTCAATGTCAGTGAAAGGAGTTCAAAAATTTTGGATACGCTAAAATTTTATCTAAAAATCCAAATAAAAAAATGAAAATAATAATTTTTAAATTAATTTTAAAAAGTAGGTAGAATATTATATATATTTAATTATGTTTATTGCATACATTCAAGACTCAAGAATAGGAAGAAAAATTCTAAAAACGTAGAAGATTTTAAGAGAAACGTAGAAGACTTTAAGAGATATTTAAAAAATTAGAATGTTGTTTTTTAATCGTTTTATTTAAACTAATATCTATATTAAGAAAGAAAATTATATTTTTTATTTTGATTTACACTGCGCGACGAATTATCAGAGGAAATAAATATCTTTAACACGCTATTATAACGTCTTTTAGACAATATGCAGTCGCTTGAAATGTGTATAAGATATAATATTTTTCCGATATAAGGTTTCTCGACCACAGAGAGAGATACATCATGGAAAGCATGACGAATCGAGGCTCGATGATGATCCAAAACGGAATTTGAAGTAAAACTTTATAAATAGCAGCCACGTCTTTTGCAATCGGTAGGAGAAACGCACAGCTCTCTAGCGAAGACGAACTAATTATTTACTCACCTATGCTTTTACACTTGCCATTACCAAAAATACATGCGGTACTCTCAGAGTTCTCAACGCGTATCTCATATATGTATCTTCATCATGTAGCTTGAGTTGTTACTTACATGCGTACTTGCACTTGAATTTAGAGTGTTGACATTTAACGCGAGATTTTTTCTTTCTAGAAATATATTTCTTGTTTTTGTTCTCTTTATAAACGCCTAAATACATATATGCATAGAGAACGACACGTCTTTGCATATGATCCAAACAGCGCATTATATGAAATGGATTTATTCTTAATTATTTGCCAAAATTATCCGATTTACATCAGATTCATAATACTTGAGATTTAAATATAAAGTTCACAACATAATTGACTTCTTTTTCTATCCATGTATTAACACATCAAGATTTGTTTCAAAACTATTTTACTATCAAAAATTGTGGAATAGATAATTATAGAGAATCGAGCATTGTTTTTCGTATATGAAAATTCAGTATTTTTTGCAAATTTTATTACTTTCAGTATATCACACTTAACTTTTCTAGCAATTAGTATTTTTGTTTCTCAATGTGTGATGCAAGATATTTTATTGAAATAAACACATCTTTTTCATCATAAAATATTAATATTGATGCCATAATGTGCATTCTTACTTTAAAAAGTTTTATCACATTAATATTGATATCAACATTGATATGGAAAACTGAACGAAATTTCATTATGAAGTTTGGTTCTATCGAAATGCATTCACTTACCGCTTTTGCCAACTCCTGGCGCTCCTATCACAGCCACTTTGACTTCGCACAGCGAACTCTTCTTCCTTCTGATGCCTCTAATTGCATTTGACGTCATACTATAAGCATTTGTTACTGCCGAAAAGAAAATTAGACAGGGCGTCGTCAAACTATCGTACGAAAACGTCTCATTATCTAAGAAAGGTTTCAAATGCATATTCAATCATTTTTTACCGCGTCAGAAGAATATCCCCGAAACTCAATTACAATTTTTACTTCATATTATATTATGTATTTTTTAGAATAGAAATAAGTATACACAGCTCTATAAAGAAACTGATGATGTATAGATAAAGCCAAATTTAATTATTGCACAGAGAGAATTTTCTCTCAGAATTTACTCTGAAAATCATAGTGATATCTTGAGAAACAATATGGTATTAGAAGAATTTTATAAGAGTTTCTTTGATTAACATTTATCACAATAAAAAATATTAATCTAATTACCACAATAAGATATAAAATATGTCCTATTAATTTCACTATAGTAAAATTTTATATTAATATTTTTATTGTGATAAATTAATCAGAGAAACTCTTATAAAACTCTTCCAATACTACAATATATTGTCTCACGATTATCATGATTTTCAGAGTAAATTCTAAGAGAAAATTCTCTTTGTGTGTACTATTATTATAATTATTAACAACTACCATAATTATTATTTTTATTATTATTAATCTTATATGCTTATAGTAGAAAGTTTATTATTTCAGAGAGATTATTCGTGTTTGTTATTTATTATTAATTTTTATCGCGGAACTAATGCATTCGTAATTTTGAATTATCAAGCCACGGTCCATTTACCGAGTGTTCCGTTTCCTCTACGGCGCAATAAAAAAAACGAAGATTTTTACAGCACTTCGTAGCATCCGCCGCTTGTTTCTCTTTAGATGCGTGTTTGAATAAGTCATGCACACTTCGAAAGAGGAAGGGAGCGGCAAAAAGCGTCTGTATAGAGAAAGAGAGAGAGAAATGTAGCAAGGGAGAGAAAAAGATAGATTGAGAAGTGCACATGACGGGTACATTAATAGAACGGTTTGCACGCACATGTCCCGTGGAATCTTAGGAATTTCTTCCAGTGTCTAACAATGTACCGAGGTTACGAATATCGGATACGAGATTGCAAACAATAGTGTGGTTTGTTACGAAATTTTCATATAATCTCGCGTCGATGATGTGGACCCGTCACGGGTTCCCTAATCGAAATTCATTAAAGTCCCGTGACTTTCTCGGCATCTCTACTTAATGAAACATAACGTTAATTTATCATATATAAGCAATTAATAAATCTGCGGTCGTTAATTCGATTTTGTGCACGGGCAAAATTATATGCTCTTCTATTAATCGCTAAAACCTGTCTGTACTGATGTATTTAACGACACACTTTCTTAAATAAATGCACGTTAACGGGTCTCTTGGAGCATTTCACCGCATAACAAAGTAGCCGCGATCGCATAGCGTATAGATATAAATAGATGATGCTATAAAGACTTAAAAATATGCAAACTAGCATACTTGATGCAAGATAAAATTTAACATAAGTAAATACAGCCTTTTTCCGTGAAGAAATACTTTCTCTTTTTTATTGCATATACTGAAGAAAATATTTTTTTATTTATATGCTTATAATATTTTGAGTTTCGACCATCGTGTAAAATTGCGTTACATGAAAAATGTAAAATATATGCATTATCGTAATAATATTATATTTTGCAAGTTTGAAAAAATTCTATATTCGATAAAAACTTTGCATTACGTAAACGTGTATATGATTATAGATGCATGATGATTTAATCGAGAAAAGTTATATAAATAAATTGAATATATTTAAAAAGAACTTACTATTTCTTTATATATACAATTTAAATATAATTTGTACATAAAGAATATAAATAAGGTTGATGCAACTTACCACTACACACTGATATTCTTTTATTGTCCTCTTTTATACGCAATCTATCATATTGCGATCGAACAGTTTGTCAAATAATAAATGTTAAACAAGTTAGGAATGTATAATTGATTCGAGTGTGCAATATAAAATTTCTCGAATAATTATTTACTTGATTTCGCAGTCAAAAATTAATTGTCTTTGACGATCAAGCATAGTACTCGTGTTTTTTATTTTTTTACCAGATTAAATTATCAAAAAATATAGATTGATGAGATCGCGCGTGTGTCACGTGGACTGATTCGGACGTTTCGTTTGAATTCGCGATGTGAACCGCCGTGGCTCTTGGTCTCGGCACGACTGTCTTGCTCTATTCTCTTCTGGCGGCTCGCGAGACCCGCCAGTTCCCTTATTGCTCTTAAGCCATGTACATGCGGTATCCGCTTCCGGTACAGATGTGCGCGCAGACGAAGGTCGAGATTCGAAACGGCCGATGTCCTCAAAGCGCCGCGACGCGACGCGCCGTCTTCGCGTCTTGATAAAATTGGAACAGATATACGCGTTCGTGGCACAATTCGAAATGAGAAATGAAATCAAGGTGTATTTTTTAAGGCACGCGCGAAAGCTTTGCCAAACGCTGATTAAATTATAATTAGTGGCGATTAAAATAAAAATTACACGTCTGTTAACAAACTGGCAGAATAATATTAATATAACATTCTTTTATGCTCGCGTGCTAGTTGCCCTTCTACAAAGAATTATGAATAACAAATAAAAATCTAATGCTGGGTACAAAGTTTCAAGATTGTTTTAAATGTATGAGATGCGTCTGTGAAGATGTTACTTTTTGAGCGCAAAATTTTCTGTTGAATAATAAAAATGTTGATGCATATATGAAACACAGGACAAAAGTTGCAATATGGCTTTATAGATAGATCGTATTTTATTATGTCATTAAAGCACGAGGAAGGAAATATAAAAAATTATAAGAGTTTACTCCAAATGATAAATAACAAAAAAGATGTATCAATAAGCATTGCTGTTGCTAGAAATAATCGTTGATAATTTCACAATTTGATACAATATTAAAATTATTTTTATATTACTGCAAAGTATAACCAGAAATACGGTTCTCTACGTTTATCGACAGCCTTTATTGCAACAGATGCAATTCGTTCGCTTAGAGGAGCCACGTGTTGGTGGATTGGAAAATTTCCTCCTTTCCGACTTCATCGATCTGCTCTCTATGCCGTCTCGAAACTTCTGGGCAACCACCGAAAAACCAGTTTACAACTCGCAACAGAACTGGTTTCACTCGATCTAAATAACAAACCATTAATTATAATTGGGGTGTTTTCCCGGAATTAATTTACATTTATTATCATTATAATAATTGGTCATATAATTTTATATTAATGAACATTCTCAATTTGCCCTTACATTTAAACATTTCATGTCTGAATGTATTATGTTTGTGCGTTATTATAAAAAATTACGAAACAGAAGGACCTACGAATGTAATATTTTTTTTGCTATTAATTAAATTTGTTTTAAAATATCGCGCGTTATAAATTATTTCCTCATTAGAGAGATTCTATTGCGTTCAATTATGACATATTTGTTATAATCTGTGGATTCTCGTAGAAATCAACTCTTCGAAATCTAGCACAATACTCACGTTTTCTTGAGAGTCCTCTTTATACGTAATAATTATCATAATCTATTTCTATTATGCAATACACGCGAAATATAAATTACCATAATGAGAATCTGCTATTTGCTCATTTATAATTCTTGTCATGCAATCTTTCTTGAATTGATGTTGGCAGCAATTTGCAACTTTATCGTGCTTCTAAAACACATAAGATAATTTTTTATGTAATTAATCTTGGAACTTAACATATTGCAATTTAAAGTAAATATTAGTATATATATAATAATTATAAATCGCAAAATATTTACAATTTTCTTCATAATTTTTATATAAATTTTCTTGTAAAAATATTTTCTACCTGATTCGTCATTGATAAATAATTACTATTGTGATTCCAATCTCGATAATTACTGTCTTCGCACATTGATTTACATTCGATGTCACTTTTATTAATAAGTTTTACAATCGTGCTGGAATTTCTTTTTTGAGATGAAGTAGATTCTGTTTTCTATAATAAAAGTTCACGTTAAAAATAAAAATATTATGTGTAATTGTATTATAAATTAATGTTTCTGTAGCTATATATATTATAAAAAAATAATAAATTATGTAAATATTTTTTATGCAGATAAAAAATAATTTTTACTTTTAATGTTATAATTTTAATAAATCTGCAGTAATAAATTCTTTAATAAATAATTAATAAAATATTTTTAATATTTTCATTGGTATTCTTACAGTATTTTCTACAGCACAATCTTCATAATTTTTTGATTTTTTTTGTTGCAGATCATCTTTCATCCTATTTATCGATGTGTTGCACATCATAATCTTTGTATTCGAAGAAACATCATGCAAAGTTATTATATTCTTCTTTCCGAATTCTTCATCGACTATTGCCATCTGCGGTGGACTATCTCTGTAAGTATTGATATTTTCATCTTTATCTAATACATATTTTATAATATCACTATCACGTCACTTTGATTATTTCGTATCATTATGACGTGGAAATTCCAAACTTATTCGGAATTTGTGATAAATTTAATTCATTGTATAACATTTGAACTGTGTTGAATTAAAAACATATGATAAAATCTTATTTTTAATAAGGGAAACATACGTGCTATAAAATTATATACTTGACTGTTGGCATTTGTATATCGGTTAAACGATATTTTGGAACGATATAAGTATAAAAAGGTGTAGGATTTAACAGTACATTTATACATTATTGAAACTGTTTTTAAGTGATTAAATACTTGTAAAAAATCTAGTAGTAATGTTTTTAGATAATGCATTCAATCAGATTTATACACATATTTCACTGACTTTATCTCTGCATCAAATTCCGATGATATGTCTTTGAAAGTTGCATTTTGATGAAGCCGATGATTGCGTCGTGGCTCGTGTTTCTTAGCATTGCGTTTTATATAAGATATCTTCTTCACGCGCTTGCTACAAGAAATTTTTATATTTATTGAGATTTTGGAACATTAATTTGCAGCTCATTAATGCTTGCATAATGAAGTCGTTCTTGATGCGTATCGTATTTCTATAAGCTATAATTAAGCCGATTTCATAAATAAGATACAGAGAATAATATCCATACAAAAATATAACTGACCTTATTAATTTACAGTTGCTATCATCATTATTTATTTTGTCGATGTGTCTCTGTCCATAATTTCTTGTATCTTCTTTGCATATTTTTCGGTATAATTCTTCTATTTTTGGTTCCTTATTTTCATCTTGCTCTTTTGTCTTTATTTTTTCGTATTCAATTTCAGTCACAGTTAGGGCATATTTCAATCCATTTGCAACAAGATCTATTAACGCGCAACATGCTTTCCGAGCGTCTAAATAATTATTTTTATTCTTGAAGACAGTGACAGAAAAAATTTCAAAAATTTTTAAATTTGTTATAAAAAACATTTTCTTTTTAATTACAAAATAAAATATAACAACTTGAGAGAGAGAGAGAGAGAGAGAGAGAGAGGAGAGAGACCGAATTTTATTATTATTAAAAAATAAAATTGATTCGTAATATTTTGATGAGAAAAGATTTATGATTAGAGAATATTCTTGTAACGCGATTATTACATAAATCCTTAATTATATTCGAAAGTCAATCAAAAACCATAAGCGATGATAAAAGCTCTCTTTCTCTCTCCTTTCACTCGATTTTTTTTCTTTTTGCTACTCACACAAACGTGACTTGGGCACGTAATACAAAACGACGCTACACAACATTAACACGATTAACGAGAGACGCTTCAAGTAAGTGATCCACTCAAGCACGCTGAATTTCTCGTCAAAATAACCTGACGAGTGAAGGAGGAAGTCATTTGGACGACAAGAGAGGACATTACTTTCTCTTACCATATCCATTATGCGATTTGGTAGATACGCATTGCGTAGCAAGCGCGACAATAAACACTACGGATTTCATGGTCGACGAAAGATTCAATTTTCTAAGTATTATTTTCCATGTTCCAATCACGATATTCTAGGAAAAGAAAAAAAAAGAGGATTGAATGACACATATGCGTTCTGAAGCGATGTCTGTCACGACGTAAGAGGCAGTTTCACTTCGTTTTAAGTATTTCTAGTTAGGCCAGCTAATTATTCCTTAATTATACTTGATAACTATAACTAATATGGCGAGAAAACAACTACGTCGATAATTATTTCTACGGGATTTTCGCTTTGTATATACATGTAATATTACGTGTCGCGTATAAAGAAATAGTAACACGTGTAAGATTTATATCTTAATTTTTTATTATATGCTCTGAGTACTTTACAATATAATACAAAGGAAACATGTTATATGTATCGACCGCCTTTACTACAATCTAACAAGGGTGGGTTACACGCATACGTAAACGTACGAAAAGATATTTCGTACGAATCAGCGCGATAGGTTTAAAAGCACAGCGTGCATAAGCGGGGACTCGCAATACTCGCTAAATAGTGCCTCTCTAAAGCAACGTCGCTTCGTGACTTCTGCAACTGAAGACTAGAAAATCTCCAAAGAGTTTGACCGAAGAAGAAGCGACATGTTGGATTATCTAACAATTATAAGTAAGAACACGACTTAAAAATATATATTTTAAGAAATACTGTTTAATTCAATGTACATAAATTCTAAACAAAGTATGACAAACCAATAAGGACATTCGGTAAACTCTCGTCCTTGTCGGCTAGTCAAAGAAAGACTCCCCAAACGACTCCACATACTGCTGCCGTCTGTCAATTTATTCGCAAAAGAAAAGAATACTGTACTCTCACATCCAAATGACGAGTTCTATCGTCACGAAGAATCGAGCTTGCGAGTTCTATAAGTTTTTTAAGACTACGATAACTCTTACCATCTCGCACATTACAACTTTTTCTAAACATAGACTGCTCTATTAAATATCGGGGCAGATGCCAGTGTTTGCTGAATTAAGCGAACTCATGCATAAAAACGTTTATGCTAAACTAATACAATATTATATAATATAATAAAACAGAGTAGTATTAATAATAATTAATAATAATAATATTATAATAGTAATGTGTGAATCATATACGCGCGTACGTGCAGCTATAGCGAAAGAAATGATGCTATCTTACTGTACGAAGATAACCTTGTGATATGTATTTTTCACTCATTTGGCACCTCGTAAAGAATACTCGAGGGCAAGAGATTGGGCTATCATAAATTATCATCCATTAATGATTCATTATTCAATAAAGCCGTGCGATTATCATGACGCAATCCAGCAATATTATGTTGAGTAACATTCGCGTACAACCAAAGATTGGCTTTTTTTTATATAGTATATAACCGATGCGCGTACACGCGTACAACACACTAATGAACGACTTTATACAATGGCGGACAAATTGATGAGCGCAACGAGGATGATGATAATGAAGTTCTCCATCGAACTTAGAAGTTCTGACACAAAAAATCTTTATAAAATCAACATTTTTCGGTCTGTAATTTTCTCAAAATTACTGATCAAACTAACACACACTCTTGAAATATGCCATTAAAAGACGCATCACTAAATCTTGACAAGCAATGAGATTATCAAAAATTATTGTCGCCAAAAAGTTCAAGAGAGTGATAATTAAATTGAACACATGATCGACTTCAAGGTCCGATGGTTCGCACAAGAAATAACCGAATCAATATAACGAAGATGCGGAAGTTCTCATTCTTACGCAAAATGTCTCTTCATTTTGGTGATAGCATTCGTGAGATGGGTCATCTCGGTGTTAAGTTGAGAAATCAGATCCTCCAATCTATCAACGCTATCGAGAACTTCGACGCGTTGCGTATGCGGATTGTACCTGACCTCGAATGGCCGACTCATGGCAGCTACCTGCAAGTGAAACCAAGACTCGTGACTAAGCTCGATCGTTTATTCAAATAAAAGATTATAATCAACAGAAGAAAATTGATTATATTTATCAATAATTATTTTCTTCTTGTACAGAAAATAATTATAGAAATGGAAGATATTGAATATCATAAATATTGAAAATAATATAAAAAAGAAGAATTATTTCGAGCTCTTTAATTAATTCATTCATTTCACGAATTAATACCGAGAGCAGACAATCATTCGAACGTACGATAGAAATAATTAATAATTAACGCGCTTACCCAGCGGCGGAATTTTTCCTTGGCATCCTCGAAGCTTTCAGCCACAAAATATATCGGCTGATATTCTTGATCTTGATACTTTTGAAGAGCGGTGGTTGACGGATCGAATGCTCGGTGCTCACATTTATCGCTCAATGCGTGCAAGAGTTCGCCATAGGCTGACAATAAACCAGCACCGTAAGCTTTGACTTCGCTGCCTTCTTTGCAGAGACCAAACTCGATCGTGAACCAATAGATGGTCGACAGTTTCTCGATTTCCTCATCCGAGGCACCGAGGGATGCCAAACCGATCTCTTGCGAGAATTGAGCAAAACTAGGATCGGCCAGAAGCGGCATGTGACCCAAGAGCTCATGGATGCAGTCTCTGCAAATAGACACAAGACGAACTTGAAGATTTACGTCACGTGCTTATCTGGAAATCTGACGTTCCGCGTTTAAATTTATCACTAATATTCATTTTAAATACATGGAAGATGCTCGATATATAATTGGTTTCATTATTCAACGATGCTCAATTTAGCTGCAAGATTTTAACTAAAGCATTGAATAAGTTGGACGCGCTAAAAGTCAATTAAGGTGCATCGCCAGATGAATGGCTCGAATCAAATTGAAACTCTAAGGAACCATATTCTATTCTTACAATCTGCGAACTATCGGCAGTCCCTGAAAATCGAACTGTAACACGGATCGCTACGCGGAGAAACGATTTCGTAACTGCAGAACTGAGTTATCAACGCCATCGCGTCGTTAAAAGCCAATTAGAGTTCCATTACGAGCTTAGAGCGGCGCAGTAATTCTATTATCATCGTTCTCTGTGTACCGGGTGCAGGCTGCCGTCATAACGCAATATCGATTGCCTTGTAGTTTGACACGAAGGGGCAGCCCGTGACATGGACCCGGAACGACCTTTATAATGTGCGATTTTTAAGATGCGTTGCAGCTTGACTATCCTCGCGACATGACATTTTATCAACTCTCAATATATCCTATGCAAAATTCTCTTTGTGCTTTGTAACACATAAATTTATAAATAAGATAATTTTGCAAAGTAACACGTGCGTAATAAATTCGGAGACAATCATCATCTGCTCTTAATGAATAAATAACATACGTTTGATAAAAGAATTTTTGACAAGAAGCTACGCTAGCGAAAGTAAGAGATGAAAATTTAAAAAATACTTACGGCTCGGGAGTGTGATACGGGCTGTTAATGTGACGAACATATTGAGTGCTTTGGAATACTCTGAAGGCAAGACTAGACAGGAAGTCGCGCGCCGTCAAGAGACCGGCAGCCGGTCGAAGAGTGAATCCCGTGTTTCTCTTCAAGAAATCGCTGACCTCCTGCAGCTGCGGTATACGATGGGGTTCAAAGATTCTCTCCTCCTGCAATTTCTTGAAGACTCTCTGGTATTCCACGCACGCGTGCTTCGGCACCAGATCCAGCACGGTGATGAAAACGCGCGACCAGGTCTCGTTCTCCGTCTCGGTGTAAGGAATGCTGGGTATCGGATCCCCGTACTTGTAAGCGAAAGCGATTTCGGCAATGACCTTGCGACGGGCGCGGTATTCCTTGTCCGCGAAGCCCGGATGACTCATGTCAAGATCCGGTTCGTACTTGGTCATCAGATGATTACAATTGTCAAGGTCGGAGGCGTGACGGGGAAACCAGGGATCTTTGATGCTGACGGAATTGTCGGCCAACAGAGTCACGCCGTCCAACGCCGAGCTCTGTCGTAGATTTCTAATCAGCTGGAGCAGGCTCTGCCTGCTCATGTCGATCTTGACCAAGACTTCGAACTGCAGACCCTCCTTCTTCGAAGGCCGCGTCTCGACATGCGTAATTATGCCCTTGAAATTTTCGATTGTCTTCAAGATTCTGCCCAGAGAGCCGATGCCCTCTCGCAGTCTCAGAACCAACGCCGCTTTCTGCACGCTCTGCTCGGTCTCCGGAGACTCCGCTATGGTCTTCGCAAGTACAACTTCCTCCTCGGTTAATCCGGCATCTGCGGAAAAATAAATTTCGTCAAAAGACATTTTTTTTAAATTCGTTTTTCTGAATACAAAAATTCTCATAATTATTAAGTGATATTGTTTTATGAGAGAACGTGGGCACTTTGACAATACGTATATAGAATAGAAAAGCGCATAAAATCGACCATAAAACTTTCCGAGAGCGATTCTTTTCAGGCGTAACTTCTCGCGAGAAGCCTAAGTGACTTCCGCGGACGGTAATAATCGGGCAATTCAAAGTCCATTTCCGCATTGCGCCTTACCGTCGCGTCGGAAACGGCATCGTCTCTACTTGGCCGCGGCGTGGGCGAAAGAGTGGCAAAGTAGCCTTCATTGTCGCCGGCGCGAACGTGTCGGCGAGATGTAAGGCGACGCGAAAAGGAATAACCGTGTTACACATTTACGCAGACTCGCTCGCGGGAGTTCTCGAGAAAGGCTCTGCCCCGGTAATACGATTCTAAATGCACAAAGCGGCTTCAGAGGGTGCGGAGGCGGCTCTCGTGGAAAGAGATGGAAAAAGCTCGCGGACGTAATTCACCCCAAGTGTCGACCGGGCACTCGTTCCGTATGCCGTCGACAATAGCAACCGTTTCACCCTCCATTTACCCTCGTCGCTCTATCCTGCCCTATCATATGCTTGCTTCCTTCGCGCACGTCTTTACTTACTTCCTGTATCACTTATATATCGCATAACGAAATATTTCACGGCGCGTAAACTAGGAGTGACCAATTATTGTCAGGGGAAGAAGCACTTACCGTCATCATAATCGTCATCTGGTTTTCCATCACTGTCCGACGAAGCCTCAGCTTTCGCTTCTGGAAGTTACAAATAAATTCATGCTCATGCAACTATTGCTATGTATATGCAACATTTATGAGAAACTTCATGTTATCTTGGATATCTGGCGATAGATGTATTTGAGAGATGTCGTTTAATTTCGTATTGTAATAACTATTTTTCATACGCGAGCATATGTAAACATTAGATAAAATTATCTATGTTTATTAATGCACACTCGTGTCTTGTATAAATGCATCTCACGCTCCAGTTATCCAAAGATTGTTATAATTTATGCACAACATCTATATACAAACCTTCTTTCTTTGCTGCGCAAATTAACGACTCTGCTTGTTCGTCGTCACTTGATGAAGCATCAACATAATGCTCTCCTTGTCCTTGTTGCTCCTGAGTACAAGTTATTGTCTGATCGACGTTCGTGTCTATTCAAGTCAACAAAGAAACATGTCATGCAACATCAATATATGCCTACATTATCTTCGCACTATTTTTATACCATCAAATTTGTCATATTATTTTATGCAAAAAAACAGTGATACATATAAAACTATTAAATAATATCAAACATGCAAAATATATTTCTACATTACAAGAACACTTACATACATATATATCATATTCTTTTTTAGATAACAAATCGAAAATACATGTATAATACGATGATGCAAAAACTATAGATTTTGAAAAAAAAATTAAAATAGTTATGCCAAAAAATGTTTGCAAGACTTACCATTCGCTCGTTGTCGAGCTTCCTCGAGTACGCTTTGCTTCGTCTGCTTGACGACCAACGTCTCAAAGCGGGCATCGTCTACAAGAGACCGTCTTCGTGCTGGATACCCGTTCTGAAAATAAATAAAAAGTGCAATTTATATAAAAATGTCATAAGTTGCATCAGTAATAGCATCGAAGATGTCTAACTAAATTCTAAGATTTCATTTGTATAAGATCCATTTTTGTTCTGTTGCATTTTACGTCACAAGCAATTATAGATTTGACTTATTGTTAGATCTTTAAAGGGCGGATGTCCTCTCATCTTAATTGGTTAAGTTCCGCTTTCCTCGCTTTCTGTTCATAGTCACCTTTAACATGAAACGGTACGGAAATCTAGCCTGTCAGCTCGATTGGGCGTCGCTTAAATAGGAAACGAACAAAAGACACGGAAATGAATTTTCGCGACAGCCGTCCTGTTGTTGAAGGATCGGAAATGAATTAATTCCGGTAGAAGATGGAGAGATACAAAGGAGCTCGATCGCCTCTCAGTCTTTAAAAGTAGATAACATATAGATTTTTTCCTTATTTCTCTTTTTCTAATCTCACCAAAAATAAATGTATTTCGCAAAGGCAGCTTATTTTGTAATGTATATAATTAAAAAGCGTTTAAATATTAATAACTTTTGTCACATAAAAGTTGAACAATTTTTTATATAGAAATATTGACGTTATGTCAGGATTTTATTCATTAGAATAGCAAAAACATTGAATAAAAGATATATTCTGAAAGACAAAGATATTCTCATCTTAACGAAAACGGACAAGCATGCGCTACCGATCATTCAAATTCCTGGCTGTCGTGTATCTGACGCCTCGTCGGGGACCTAGTTGCATTTTCCAGCAAAGTCGTCGGTTGGCACAGTTTAGAGTAAGCGTTTAGCAATCCCTTAACAACGCGCTTGAGTCGTGAAGTGGGCCAAGTACTTTGATGGAATGGATGAACGATGACTATGTCGGGAAATTGCGACACACGAGAAGATAACGCATCAGAAGAATGATGCGAATGCGTGACAAGTCTCGTCTCGATGAAACGATAAAGATTGGAATTAATTAATTCCCATCGCGAAGCTCGCGCCAAGTTATCAACCGTGTGTGAAAGTGACGAATATACGCAAATATTTGCCGATTAGCCGGTTGAGGTGACGATAAGTTATTTGCGCGGGGATAAAGGATGGAAACCTGGCGCGCGACGACAACTCGGCGACGCGAATATCCAATCGAGCAAACGGCAGGTGCCGTAGGAATGTTGTTTCCGACCTTGTGAAATCGCATGAACATACGGGCGAAGATGCAAAGCAAAAGAAACTGACCTCGAGTCAACAAGTCGAGTAATTACCGCCACACGATGATAAAATCCTATTCGAAAAGGAACAGGATCTATTTTTCTTTTTCTTTATCTCCCCCCATTCTGTCTTTCTTTCATTCCCCCAACTCTTTCTAACATTTTATTAACCCTTCGTTGAAAAAAATATTTAATATGCACATATGTTCATATGTATGATGATTTAATTAAATCATGTCAAGTTTGATTGTACTGTTAGACATAATTAGACGGTTACTGCGAGATTGATATCGATAAATTAAACCTGCAACTCAGAAGTTGACAGTTGGAATTGATATTTAAAGATCTATAGACGCATTTACATACATCGGGCGATTATTTTTTCTATCAAAAGTTTCAGTCTATTTCATCTGTTTATTAATTTATTATATAAATAATAGTTTTTTTATGCGTCTTCAACGAAACGGCAGGTAAAGCAATTAATATGGCATAATGTCTTGCATTCCAGATTGATTAGAATTATTTTTGAATAATTTAACTCATTACTACTAAATTAATAGAAAATAGCAACGCGACAAGCCCGAGTGCGTGCAGAAACAATTAAGGGCAAATGGAAAAGCTCACATCCCGTGGTGGTAAAATTTGGAAATAATTTGCCTTTGAGTATCGATTCGAACGAGAAGCTCGTAAAACCACATATAATGCGTTGCGCACACATCAAAATCCCAACATTATTAATATATGATCGTTCTCAGAGGAAGAGGGAGCAAAAAAGAGAGAGAGGGAGAGAAATAGATTATGCTCGATAATCCGGTTGAAACAGTCGGCATTTAAGTAAAGCAATTAGCATAACGGACTCGCATACATACTATATAGGTGCATACGCACGCGAGTCGCGTGTGCCAAAGGAGAATCGCGAATGCAACAAGCGTCCGCGGTGCAATACGTGTGCAGCGAGCCTCTGAAGGTGAATAACGGGTGCATCGTTCAGGGACTTCTTAGTGTATGTCTCCTTCTCTCTCTTCTTTTCTATCTCTCTCTTGCTCGTGCGCGGCCTGTTTTATATACACAATCACTCCGCTCTATCATATTTATAACATATTCATAATTATTATGCGCAATAATCAAGGCTGAAGATTTTGCAACAACCGATCAACGACAGTAGCAATAGTCTCGATAAGATTGGAAGGGCGCTACCGGATCTCATTATAGATTCACTCATTACAGAAATAAATCCGCAATAGTTTTATCATATAAATTTGTGAGTTAGTCTAAAAAATTCTACAAGCGGAATTTGCGCAAGCAATCAGTAAGATAATTGATCTCTATCTCTATCTCGAGAACAATGATTGAGATAATTGAATCAGATATCAAAATTAAATCAAATAAAAATGTAAACAAAAGATCATTTTAATAGAATACACATCGATCAATTTTAATTCAGGTAGTAAATATAATGAGGATCTTTAGTCAGCAAATTAAATTCGTTCAATAATCTGAAAAGAAGCGAAATAAAATCCGTGGCTTATTCGTGATCGATGGGAAATTTATTCAAGGTCGGTTCACTTTTTACCCCGCATCGCTGCTACTCGCGCAATAACTATTGATCTCGCATAACCGATTCTGGATCTGATCCGGTATCTAGATCCGACGTTCGCGCACGAGTTCCGTTGGAATGAGTCAGACTCGTCGTGATCGTCAAATAGATAAAAGTCGAAGCCAACGCGGTATTCGAGGTAAAAAAATACATTTAATCATATGGAACAAACACATAAAATTTATGCAACTATTATGTGCAATAATTGCCAAGATTCACTATAAACAAAATAGAAAAAAATACTGCTTGCCGGAATTGAAATCGCCAGATATTCGGGCAGATACTTACGTTAGAAAAATTTTCTTTTATTTTTTTTTTTTTCAAAAAATTTTCAACTTTTATTTATATATATTTATAAATAAATCTTATTTTACAAATAATTGTTTAAAAATACTAATCTTCTATCTTTTTTTGCCGAATTTCACTAATTAGTAAGTTACGCCTATACAAACATTTAACGATTCCGGTTCATAAAATATGCGGAGAAAGTATAAGATTGACCAAGTCACATCACACCGAAGTGACGTATTTTCATATTTATACAGACAGATGCAAAGAATAAATTATACGGCGCTTAAAAGAAGTCTCTCTCTAGGTCTATCATTTCGAAAAAAAAGTACTGAAACTAGATTCGCACACACAAATCTTACATCAATTTTTACGTCACACTGCATCCAAGAATATTAAATTCTTTGATGATTCGCGGTAACGGTACTTGATATGCGTAATATCTCTCATTGAATTATGTATGAATGAAAAATATAATGTTCTGGGAAAAGTGCGCGATTAATAATCAAACTCGCAAACAAACAACGATTTGAAAGTCGTTTGCGTTAACAGGATTTTTACGTCAATAAATCATGATCTCCGGGAAATCACAATTGGGAATGGAAGTGACGATTACGATGTATCTTTAGCACAGTCATTAAAGAGATAATACGTTATCGCGTGAGAAATGAGATATTGACCTTGCGGATGTTTACGCGATCTATTAAACTTTGCATCATCGATACGCGAACGCAACCGAAAAGAATAAGCGAACGATCTCATAAAATTGTAAGTAGTCGCGCGGACTAATTAGAAGCGAGCAGAGACGAAATTGGCCTTGCGTTTGTGACACTTGGGCGATCTATGTTATATTCACATGCAATGGAAAGAGAAAAGGGAAACGCGGCAACCTCGAAAAAGTATCGATTAAAATCCATTATTGTGCGATTCCCTAAGCTAAAATGTCGTTACGCAAAGACGAGGCCTTGCAGACTGTAATTTGCAGGAATAGCTAGAAGTATATAAATACAGCCGAACACGTGTACATTATTAAAAGATATATCGTCGACGATTACAGCCAATATTATTTACTTGAGAATGCCTAGGTAAAGATGATCGATAATTATATAGCTATTTACAATCGTTTGCTTCCACACACACACACACATAGCTTGTCATTAATAATTACGAGAGAATTACTGTGGAAACTATGCAAATGCGCAGGAGATGTAAATATTCGCGAGAGAAAGGGGTTAGTGCGAAAATATAATTTTACGAGATGCGCGTAATGTTTGACAAGAAGAAAGAACATTATTTGTCTTTTAGACAGGAAAGTGAATCCATGTGCGCCGAGAGAGAATTGACGGTTTCTCCCGCGTCTTTCTGTAGTCAAAAACAGCTGATTTGTGCCGGCTACTTCCTCGCATATAAAATCTCAGCGGAATCATGTTTCATCGGTTGAAAGATTGAATTTTTCGCGCTAAGTGCATCTTGATCTTGCGTCAGCTATCTTGTTGTCGATTCTCGAACTTATGTAAATTTATGCATACGAGACGAACTGGTCATTGAACGGAATTCATTGAGATATCATTGAGAGATGTGTGATTATTTCTTTCTTATTACAATGTTTTCTTCACTTGTTAGTAACTGGACTAAGACAAATCTTGATCTTTTGGAGCGATCAATTTGCAACAATTAAAAATCTCTGATCTTCATTTCTTGAATTAAAATATTTATGTAATATTTGTATATTCTATGTAAATATTTTTTAAGCTGTTTTACTGGTTTGATGAACAACTTGAAAATTATTAAGATTTGATATTGGACCGGTTTTAGATTACTGTGAATCACAAAACAATTTTCTAATTAAAGCTATACAAAATGTGACCTCGGTAATTAAATATTCATTAATATTGCGACAAGGTCATTAACATTGCGTAAACGATAATAACGGAGCGTATGTACTTTCTCTGCGCGCGTAGAGACTCTTCTCCGTTTCGCCGGGCCTACATGAGAATTTCACTTGCTTTGGTCTCCGGTTATTAAGATTGAGAAAGAGCCAAACCGACACACATGCACCTTTAAGCGATTTTCTGACGCAATTTTTTTTCACACATTTCGAAATGTACTGTTTAGTCAGAAAAATTTCGAGAATCTGTCTATAAGAGCAAACATTCGTCTATGTATAGAAATCGTATAATTAAGTCAAAGAGCATATAATCGAGAGAAACACTCACTTTTTCTCGGTATTGAGCATGCAAATCATACATAATTTTATGATACATAATAATTGTTGCATATATAACAAGATAAAGGTGTAGCAACTATGCTCATTCGTCAGGATATAAGGATTCTTATAATAAAAAACTGGAATAACTTTCTGTCTTCAAACATTTGTACATATAGAAGTGTCAGTGATTTAAATGAATGGCACAGTTCCCGCGCTTTACCTGTTTCAAGGCATTTTCGATTGAACCTGTTGCTCTCGACATGTGTATAAATGTAATGATGTAATTATTTTGACAGTAGCAAATATAATTTTCGCAAATAATTTGCAAATATTAAATTCATTAAATATTATTTCTCATAAGTTAAATAGATACAAATTTTCTTAAATAAAATAATATAAATATATATAAAAAAATAAAATCAGAGTATCTTATCGTAAATATTTTGTTAAATAAACGTTTTTTCAAATGTTTTTATATTTATCTGTAACATTAAATTGAATTTTAATTCATTTGTGAATCAACGCGCTTGCAACATTCTTCTTTCGAATTTTGTAATATTCTTTTAAATTTTTTAACAGTGTGTGAGTTATTTTCACCACTAGACATTATGGTACAAGATCAAGACTTACCTCAATACTGTAAGATTTCTTGATGGCGAACATCTCGCGGTTCTTCTGGGCGGCTGCGACTGCCATCATATCTTGCTTGACACTCGTCTTTTCTGGCAAAATTTTCTGGTAGCGATTAATACCGATGATTTCTCGGCTCGACGATCGATCGACTTGAGCTTCTTTCAATTGTCAGGTCTTGGTCCGATGGCGCTTACTGATGCGGCAGAAAGGGAATTGCGAGCTCTTCACTATCGCTTGCAAGAAATTACACGAATGAATTCCTTGATTTACGCCACCGTGACTTTAACAAATCCCGACGGTAATTTCCGGCTGTATCCTCTTCGGCCTCGATCCGTTCAGTTGTTACGGTTCGACTACAACGATGAGGACGGCGGCGTGCGACGACGAGCCTCCTCTACTACTTATGTCCGCTTTTAGACGAAGCGTACGAGCGAATGCGTCTACGGGGCGAATTGCCGTCGCATATAAACGTTGCCTCCCTTCACCGCTACTAATGCCGGGGTCAGGGGTGCCCCCACCCTGTCGTCGTTTCGGGTGGTCCATCGGCAGCAGCCGCCGCTACCACTACCACCACCACCGACATCGTCGGCGCCGACGTCCCCGGCACTGCTGTCATTGATGAAGACCACGAGGTGGTTCCTCATCTGGCATTTTCATCATTTTTGCTGGATTTTTTTCGCGAGAGACTTCACTTTTATCATTGAATGACACGGCGCGTTGTCCCGTTATGCAGATGATGCATTAAAGGGAATCAACCCTGATAAATTTACGAGAAATGTCTTAGCTCGCAAATCGATTGACTCCTTTTTGGGAGAAAGTCGATCACACAGTTAATTAATTAATTAATATACATATAATTTATTGGTGTAGTGAATTTGCTAAAAATGTGTTGAACATGTAATATTTTCTACGCGAAAGATAATATATAAGGATTTTGACATAGGAACACTGACTGTAGAATATTATTGTTTTCTCCAACTTACATGATTTATAAATCGGGTTCTATATTTTCTGACACTGAGACAAATTCTAATAAGTATGCAAGTATGATATTTCTTGAAACATATCTTTATCATTTTAGAACGAATGATCGAGTTGTATCAATCAATATCTTTATCTGGAGTCGATTATATTTATAGCTTGAGCTTGAAATAGGAGATTTAACTCGACGAATTGACATTTCAATTATTTTAAAAAAAGCATATTTAAGAATATCGAAAAAATATATAATTGACATTGATGTATCGATGAAAATGAATAAAAAAATCTTAAAGTTCTCGCATGATACTTTTAAAATAAAACATAATATTTTATTTATCATTTCAAATAATCATACATGTATTTGTTAAGATTATTAATTTTTGATTTAATATAATTTAAATGCGCAGATAAGTGAAAATATTAATCATACATTTAAATATCTATATTAGTAATATAATAAGAAAAAAAAACATGAAATATGTATCATATTTATTAAGCATTAATTTAAATAAGTATTATATCACATACGTAAAACCGATAAATACTATAAATAGATATACCTACGTAAACAGACACGTCAAATTAGTTGTAGAAAAAAAAATCGGATTTACCTTATCTTACAAGACGCAAATAATCTTTCCTACTAGAAGTAACTTTTCCTTTAGTTTTACGCAAATCGTTAAAAATAAAACCGCAATCAGTTTCGCATCGACGTCATCGGAACCTGCTTCTCGCCATTGACGTTCGCGCGATCCTACGTGATTCTCGGCACCGATTCCGCTGTTCGATCGTTACCTCTGTGCGTCACGCGTTCACGTGCGCGCACGCACGCACGCACGATCGCTCGGAGAAAGATCTTCCGAGAGAAAATGCCATGCACGTACTTATACGATCGTTTTTTGCGGCTTTCTAAAGACCCGACTGCGGTCCAGCCTGTGTCGCGTGTTCACCGACAATAGTGTGTTCGATGGATCGGTGAAGGATTGTCATGATGAATATTTAACAGCATCGACACGATCGCCAGTATCATTAAGAACCTGCTCCTTATGATCTACATAATGACACAATATGCACATAAATGCATGCGGAAATAGAAAAATATCGACTTTGTGCATTATGTTACACAGCGTTGCATAACGGAAGCTGAATAAATGCAGAGCCTTCGGAAATTCGATTGCTCTTAATTATAGCGATCGCGCGAGATTATACAAACAAGACGATATATAGAAACTTTTAAAAATTTATTAATTAACATCATCGCGCAAAGTAAAAATATGCTGTCATTTGAATTCAAGAAGACACTCAGAAAATATATTTCAAATATTTAACAAAAAATCCCCGTCAAGATTCGAGAAGAAAAATATATACAATATACTTTAGTATATAGATAGATGACGAGATCAATGCGGAAAAGATAATTTTAATGTTCGGAACTTCCTAGTACCTTTAATATTTGTCATTTTGACATTCGAGTCTTACAATCGACGATACGATTGAGATTTACCAAAAATTAAACTAAAAATTGAAATAAAATTTGTAACAAACGATCATTTCGTAATGATTAAATTTACCAATGCGTTGAAGAAATTTTCTTCAGACGTCATTCAGGTGCGACAACGTGCCGCAGTCGACGTCACGAGTGACCGCTTGAAGGCACGATTAGCTGGGAAACTCCCCGGAGTGGTCGCGTTAAATTCTCTGTCCATCTTCTTAGCGGACAATCCAGTTCTGAAGAGTGGATTCCCGAACTGGGAGTTTCCAACAGTAACGACGCATCTTTCTCGTCGAGAGCAAAAGAACCGTTCGATAGCCACAACTGTGAATCACATTCCAAATAATGCGATAATCGAACGCATACATCACTTTCACTCTGTATCTCATTAACATAGTTTTATCTCAAAGGGGAAGTACCTACTTAATGCTTTAGATATACATATAAATATATATGATGCTAAACAACACATGATCAGATAGATATAAACAGACGGAATAAATATGTTTATTGGGAATTAAATTTTTCTAAAAACAATAAAAATGCAGAAATAAACAAATATTTAGTTCTTGTTTAATTTCGAACCAACGGTTGGAAAAGAATGAAAAATTTGTTCATAAAAACAACAATATTTAATATTTTATTTTTGAAGATAAGAAAATACTATCTCGAAAATAATCTATATTATGCAAAAAATATGAAAAATAAGAAGAAATAGGAATTCCATAGACTTTAATCTAACTTTTGCTTAATCCGGTTTATCCCCATTTATTCGTCACTTGATTTATTATAAATGTAACATTGTCTATCGTTCTATCGCTTTATCAAATGCTTCAGAATTTATCGTCTTTAGCATTAACATTAATCAAGAATGTTTGCATATACGTATGTAATCTCTTTCATTAATTGATAACCTGTACTGATTGCCTAGTGATCTTGGAAATAAAAAGATTAATGTGTGAATATAATCATCGAATCGTCAACTATATTTGCACTTTCTTTCGAAATAAAAGATAACAAAAATAGTAATGAGAAATAATAGTAATAAAATAGTTAAATAATTAATTATTTTGAAATAAATGATTAAAAACTCAGGAAAAAGAAAGTTTGATTAAAAAAACAATTTAAATATTTTGATCATGTATTCTGAACTTTGTTTATCGGTTTATTGATTTCGCGTACATATTAAACTTTCTCGATCAAGGAAACTCGATTAATAATCGATTTTATGTTATTATGATTGAACAAGTAACTCGCAAAGTGAGTCACTAGCCTTTGGTCACCGACTTAAATTATTGTCATGCGGAGTAAATTCTAAGGACAATGGAAACGATTGTTTCCAGAACTACGTTTTGCGTTGTGAGATCCTTGCGACGGAGGCCATTCGATTGTCTTAAAATGCTCTAATCATATTCTAAATATCCAGCATATTCATAAATGTGAATATTCATTTATATTTATATGTTTCAACAATACATCTTTATTAAATTGCGTATATATATTTTTCTTCATTACATTAACAAATATATAATATGTAATAAAAGTATAACATTATTTTTTATATAAATATAATGTAATTAGAAACATATAATTAAAAAAATGTTAAGAATAATAGAAATAAAACTCGCGGTTTATCGCGAATTATAGAAGTGAATTTTAAATCAATTGATGTTGCTGTATAATTAGTTAGAGAAGAGTTTTTATTCAACAAAGCGTGTCAGATGCGGAAATATCCTGGTATGATGATAATATTTTAAACTGCACGCAAACGCGTGTATATGTATACCATTTATTATCTGTGTGTATATGTATTATATGTACACAACGTATGTCGTAACCCACACAGCATCGTTATACCAAACATGAGACGCGATCTTACTTTCATGTATCAAGGCCGCTTCGCGTGCCCGGAGACGGCACTTGCTCTACGTCAAGACTTCATAGTTAAGATCTAGACTGTAATTAGATATTTAGTCAGTTCTAAACTGATAAATCGAGCACGAATGAATAAGAGCAAAAAGAAAAGAATATCGTCGAAACTGAAAAATAACTAATCACTACACCTAAACACAAAATAAACATTAATATATGTATATATATTTACTTAAAAAAATAATATTTATTATATATTATAGAATATAACTTCACATACATGTCTTTAAATTTGAGAAAAAATTGCAACTGAGGAATACAAAAAGAAATATTGTATTGTACTACACATATTCTAATTTGTGTAAATCGTTAGATGAACGTTTGATGAACATTATGAAATTATGTCACACAAGTGTTTTAATAAAGATCAATAGAAAATAAATATATATGATTTTATCTGTCATGTTTTTATAAAACATCGATATATTGAAAATTATACGATTGTCCAATTAGTAGCGCACCAATTCACATATATGTGAGAAGCATTGCGTATATCCGGTAATTGAAGCGTTTCATACTCATGCTTTTTATTAAGGGTTAGTGAAGGCGTGTTAATCGTCAATTTTATGTTATATTTCTAGGAAATGCGACAAAAATATGCTATTTACTGAATATTGCACAAGTTAAATAAAGACACTCGGCATGCGCAGAATAAAAACTGCAGTCGAAGTGTTCAATTAATTGCATTTATTCCTACGAGAAAAAGATTAGTATTATAAACTTAGATAAGCGCAAGATTTCGACATCGGATATGCAATGGATGATCACACAAGTATAATTTATCGTATAAACTTATTAAAAACATCTCGCCTAAGAGAGGTTTGCAACATCAGTATATGTCACGCATTAGCAAAAGAGATATATGATTTATAAATTTATTATCGTACAATTTTTATATAAAATTCCTGCAGTGTAAAACAGAATGCTAACTGATCTGTCCTAATCATCGATAAATCTACATAGTGATAATGTTAGAAATAAAGAAAATCTTATTTTTAATCTGTCACTATAAACATCATTTAAAACACATATTTGTTTAATTCTTAAC